AAATAATGTTGATTTGACGTACAACTCAAATTTTATTTATATTTCTATGTTGAATCCATAGTTAGTTAACAACACCATTTCAACCATTTGGTATTCAACGTTGTTTTGACGTTGAATTAATGTTTTTTTATAAACTGACATTATTTCAACCACATTTAAACGTTTAAGGTCGGTCGAATGCCAGCTGGGTTATTAGTGCTGCAGCTTACCACTATGTTGAAGAACAAATATCTTATTAACCCCCTAGCCAGACAATCTGCAACAAGCAGAAGCTGCCAAGGTTTGCTACTGAAGGAAGGTATTCGCCTGAGTTCACCAAAAGTTCACGGCTGGGTATTCAAAATAACTGAGTAGAGATGGTCACATCACCCTTATGTTCAGCCGAGGCACCAAACAGTAAAAGAGATGATTGACAAACTTATCATATAGGGGTGTGGATTAAGGGAGAAAACAACAATGGTGAATGGTTGAGGGAATGATGATGCCTAAGTGATGAGGTATTGTTACACAATAAGAAAATGTATAAAAACTGGTGTAAAACAGTATTGGACACACTTGTAAGTGTCCGGCCTTGGTTGTAACTTCATTGTTGCAATAAAGGCTGAATCTGAATATCTACACAAGCGGCTCCTGACTCCTGACAGGCGGGGAAGGAAAAAACAACAACAAGTGATTTTACTGTTCAATTGAATTATTTGCTGGTGTTATGTTTTTTCTTTATTAAAGAACTTAAAATTTGAATGCGTGATGGAAATCTGAATAATGTGAGACATCACATTAAACGACATACACAATGCACAATGGAAAGGTGCGGGCATTTTTTAAGTTCTAAGAAAATACAGCTTGACTTAGAAGGGTATGTCAGAAACATTTTTGGGACATACCGGCTAAATTATGTTTTTGGGACATACCTGCTCAATTATCAGATTTATGGAAATCTATGCCGATCTGTGTCACTGTACAATGTAGGCTATAAATAATTTTTGACACAACTTTTTAAATTAAGCAACACCTATTTCTAAACAGTGCCATATAATGTAAAATAACACTTGGAATAACACTCGTACAGTAATATCTCGCACTTTGCCAGATAGGGTCCGCAATTTGAACTAGTGGCAAAGCATAAAAAGCGTGTTAGAGATTGTTGATACCACCTGGCGTCACGCTTGTCTGGCTCCAGTTCCTATGCTCGGTGCACAGCCGCACATCATGATGTGTTTAATGCCTTTACGGTTTGGGGAGAGTTGTACACTCAATGCTTTGTATGTGTAGAAATTTCAACAGTTATAACATGTATTATGTATGTAGCTATTAATGAGTCAAAGTCAAGTCTGAGTCAAAAAATAACAAGATGCAAGTTGTCGGAAGTCAATTTAAGAGCAACTTGAGTGCGACTTGAGTCCGAGTCATAAACTCGAGTGCCCATCTCTGCTTGAACTCATCCGATTGAGGCAGCAACTCATCCTCCACCCGCAGAGGGTAATCCACCCTTTTCCGATCGAGAAACATGACCTCAGGCTGACCCTCATCATAGCCACCCCACACTCACCTGCAAACCGGATAAAGGGCATGCACCAAACTCTCGTTTCATTTGTACAGGAATCTGATGGCCTGCAACAACAGACCCCGTACCCCATATTCCTAGAGCACGCCCCACAGGACACCCGTATGCCTTTTCCAAATCCATGAAACACATGTAGATTGGTTAGACCTTCCTAGGGAGGCTGAGGAGTGTGTTTCCCCTAAAGTTGGAACACATCCTCCAGTTCCCTTTCTTAAAGATTGGGACCACCACCCCAGTCTGCCAATCCAAAGGCACTGTCTGTGACATCCACGCAATGTTCAAAAGGCATGTCAGTAAGACAGCCTTACAATATCAAGAGCTTTCAGGAACTCAGGGCAAATATCATCCACCGAATTGATACAAATCACTAATTTAACATCTGTATAGTACCAAAAAGCCAGCACCTGGACAAATGTTTCACCTGTCATCTAAAGCCATGGAGATGACAGCACATGTGCCATAAAATCGCAAATACATTGTGACATGATCACAACAGCCCTAAATGTGATTTAGGAGACCCTAGAAATATTCCTTCCACTGCCCAACTATATCCCCAGTTGAGGTCAACAGTTCTCCATCCCTGCTGTAAACAGCATTGGTGAAGCCCTGCTTCCCCCTCCTGAGTTGCCTAACGGTTTGCCAGATCCACTGCAACCGGCACCAACAACCTTTCGGCCATAGCTTTGCACCGCCGCCTCAGCAATGGAGTCCCGGCACATGGCCTATTCAGACTCAATGTTCCCTGACTCCCTCAGGAAAGAAGTTTTGCCAGAAGTGCTAGTTGAAGATCTCCTGGACAGGGGCTGCCACCAGATCCTCCCAGCACACCCTCACTATGCGTTTGGGTCAACCAGGTCTATCCATCAACTTCCCCCGCTGTCAGATCCAACTCACCACCAGGTAGTGATCAGTTGACAGCTCTGCTCCTCTCTTCACCCAAGTGTCCAAAATTACGGTGGCCCCTAGAGACAAAACACGAACAAAAGAAAAAGCAGAAACAAAATGATTCCTTGAGTCATATGGTTAGACGCAAAAAAAGATGAAAAAAAAAAAGTAAATCATAGAATCGATTCATTACAACGGACAGTTCGAAAGAATCAAATCAGTTAATTGAGTTGAACTTCCCATCACTACTGTGTAGCGAATGGGCCACATGAGCTCACCGCGCCCCCTAGCGTCGTGGAGCACTTCTGCTTTGGGATCGTCTACTTGCAGTTGATTTTCTTTCTGTTTCTGCTTTTTCTTTTGTCTTTTTTGACTTGCAGCGCATTTTCATTTAGGGTCCGTGTATGGTCCATGTGCCTTTGCAATCATTCGTTATTCTATTTCCAGAAGTAAAACGAAAATCAAAAAAGAAGTGGTATATTCAGTAGGAAATAAGAAAATTATAATTTGGAATTTACAAAATAAATATCCTCCCATTCTTTCTATTTTTTTGTTTATTAAATGAATACGGTCTTAGCATAATACAAAATGCCTAAATACAATTATAAAAAAAAGAAACATCCTTCCTACAGTATACAGAAATTCAGAATGGGAGGGGGAACTGGTTGCCCCGGAAAGACTTAACTTTGCCACCTTATCTTTGGATAATTCAAATGCGTATCATGGTTTCACTTGAGCCGTATTCCGAGATTATTTCTGACATGCTGAGAAGACATGCCACACATGCAGATATTTCACAACACCTTCAAAATATTGCTGTGGGACGCGGATGTTCTGTGATGAGTGATGTTCTGTGATGCTCAGAATCTCAATCGGGGAGTATCCGACACACAGTTGGAAATTTATGTTTCGACAGCAATCACAGAGGTAAGCAATGGTTACAACAAAAACCAATAGTTCCATGTCGGATAGGTTATTAACTTTGTGCATTTTCTGAAGACTGGACCAACCTTCGGTAGAAAAATGATGACTGGCTACCTGGCGTCTAAAGGAATTTTTGCTTCGGAACATTGGGTTGGAAGAGCTCTGCGTGGAATTCACAGGCCCTATCATGAAACAAGATCGAGGGTATGCCTATGTCTGAACTAATTAAGATTTAAGCATAAAACTGAGATTAACTTCATTCTGAGGTGGTCCTTTATTAAGCTAGGTAATGCCATAATGCAAATGCACAAATACCACTACTGGCCCGAGGGAGGTGTTGAATTCTGAAACGCTGCTTTCTCTGTTTTGTCTCAGAGAATATATGATATTTTCTACTGCACTCCCAGTTAGATGATCCAGGTATAACTTAATTTAAAGAACAGAACATACCTGGTGTTTTGAATATCAATGGAAAAATATCCAGCTGATTTTTAATCAATGTTTCACATTAACTGACAGTATGATATACACCATCATTTTGTATTTCCACTTATGAACATGGTTTCATTTATTTTCCAGGGTCTCCGAAACTTCAATCCAGTGCCCTATCATGCTGCATACATGGGTCATCAGAATGAAAAATTGGCAATGTTTGGGGTAACCCATGTTATCGCTGTAGATGGGTATAGCAGCAAAGTTGTAGCTTATGCAACAATGCCGGTGAAAAATATTCTGACTATTTATGAGGAAGTCTACAGGTTTGTTTTGGTTTGATTATTTTACTTTTGTTATATATGTAATGTATTTACTGTTTTCAACAGAAAACATTACATTTGAATGTCATTTTGTATCATAGGCAAACAGTCCTCAAGTATTTAATAACACATTTCTGACATCTCCTAGGTCAGCTGTTGTCAACTATGGGCTGTGGGATCAGGTCAGAGTCGACCACGGCAAGGAATTCTACTTGTCACTTTTTATACAGGAAATCCTTGCACCCTATAGACACAATCAAGACAAACCACCATATTGTCAAACAACATCAATAAAGGTAAAAAATGTTCTATTTGTACTTTTAAATGTTATATTTACTTATAATTCCATGGCTTTTGTGGACAAATTTTGGCAGTTTCATGAGCCCCTCTAATTTTGTCTTTAATAGATTAGTGTCCGTGTTGGAAATGGAAACTTCATTCTAACACTGTTTCCCACAAAGGCTATGCTTTACATTCACAGCCATTCAGTAGCTTGGTGTAACTTAGAAATAGCACTTTATGTCCATTACAATAAGAAACGCAGTGTAGACATTGCTAATATCTTAAATGACTGTTGTAGCAAAAAATAATTTATACAAAGGTTTACAGAGCCCTGACATTGCTTTTCATTTAAAAACCTTTGACTGTTAGTGTACACATTCATATTTGTGTCTGTCTCCTCTAGAATAATAAAGTTGAGCGACTCTGGCCTGAGATAAACAGCAGGGTCAATTACCCTTTAAAGGAAGCTCTGATCCATCTGACTGACCAAGAACTCCTTGACATGGACTGTAACATCAGCAGATATTGTGTGTCTAACTTGACAGGCCAACTGTGCAAGATTGAAATAAAAAGAGTTGTGGAGGCCTGGAATGAACATAGAATCCCTGGTATGTTAAACTATATAAAACATGATTCAGAAACACGTTTTGTTATTCTATTAACACAAAAATTTAAATTACAGGAAAAGGAATCCCAAATCAACTAGCAGGAGGTGGATGTCCAAAAAAAGTCTCAGAAGTGTTACTGCCTCATGCATCTGAAGCAGCCAACCTTTACAATGAGGAACTAAGAAGCACCTTAACAACTGACTCATCATTTGGAACAGACCCTTTCACATACGAAGAACAGAAGGCTACTGTTGAACGGGTTTTCACCGAAACTTACCCTGACATAGCAGAGTTGCTAAACAGCACAGTCAACAAAAATCATTCCCCTTTTAAAGATGCAGTGCTCTATCTTATAAACTTAACTAAAAGGCACATGCAGTAATCTTATGTATATAACAAAGAAAAAAGTTATATATTCCTGTTCTAGGGTCTCATTGAACACTGAGAACACAGTATAATAAACAATTTAACAAATAGGCTACTTAACCTAAAAGTGTGGTCTATAGATGCAGCACCTAATCCACATTCATGAC